TAATTTTTTTATTTATATAGCGCCATATATATATATATATATATATATATATATGGGATTGGGTTAATAAAATATACTAATATCATATACAAGTTGCACAATTTCAGTTCAGTTCAAACTGCTTGCTGTATATTTTGTTTTAGTGATGCCAATCAGGTAAGACACTTTTTTTTGTATCTGAAATTAACTATTATTTTCGGACTGTTTTTTAATCGTTGACTTCCTATGGGATACTTTGGAGCTACAGACGACATTGAAAGAATAAAGTGCAAATGCTACAAGCAAAAAAAAGGTCTAATCAGCTACATGACCAGGTGGGCAATAATCATGCTCCTGTGCATCATTTACAACAAAACATGAAGTGATGCAAAAAGCAAGAGGAAAAAGAGTCACAAAAGACATTTCAAGTTCTGCTGTTTTATCACTATAAAGGGCCGCGAGTCGATCCGACACATGAAATCAACAAAAATCACTCCTCATTACAACTCATGAAATCATGAAGCTCTGCTCAGATCGGCTGGGACAAAAACATGAGCATGAATATAGTGAATTTAATCAAAACAAATCATTTAAGACCAATTTATTTCACAGTAAGGCAGATGTTATGATGTTTGTAGAGGACTAACAGGTCTATCCAGCCTGCTGGATTGGATTTGTGTTTTCTAAACCAAGGCCTACTAAATTTCAAATCAACTGGGCTACATAAACTCTTATTTTTGCAATAAGTTTGCAATAATCTTTACAAACAACAGGAGACGGTTTTAATTTTTGCTATTTTGACATTCAAAATCGCAGATGTAGTTTGGTTGGTTTGGTGTTCAGTTACAAGTGCTCTTCTGCTGTTTAACGACAAAACAAATAATAAAGCATGAATTATTTCATACAGGACAAAACAGGCAACCCTCTTCAATGGCGCCCATTTGTTTCACTGCAGATGTGATCTGATTTGGGGGAAAACGCAACTAAAAGCCACAATATGCGTCGCATAATACCAACTCAAAAGTTTTAACAGCAATTCTGGGTTACGAAGCGTATTAGTCCAATAAATAGGTCAGTTAGAAAGTCACACTGTATGATTTGTAATCAAATGTTTCTCTGACGTGAGTTTTTTTTTTTTTTAATCTGCGGTCAGAACTATTTACAATTCAAAACTCCTTGAACATTCGTACATACGAAAATGCAACCTTCTCCATGGTTTACGGGTGAATGGAAGCTATTCCATGGGATTATGGGACCAAATGATGCCCAACGCACACGTATAAATACACTGTATTGATATGACAATTGTAAAAATCGTCTCCCTAAGCTGTGACATCAACACAAAATAACAAACCCTGTACACGGACGCTTCATACAGCACCTCCGCGGCCAGCCCTTCACGGCGAGGCATGGCAGACTGTACAATGAGAGGCGATGATACTTAAGCTATGAAGAGGTGAAGCGCTGTGGGTTTGTCTGGGGTTTCTTTGTTTCGTCTGTGGTTTTTTAGGTGGTCTTGACCAGGTCGTACACGTGGATGTGGAAATCGTCATCGTATTTGATGTAGTAGACGGACGGCTTGGCGGGAACCTGGTAGATGACGAGGCCTGTTCTCTTCACCCCTTTATCCGTCACATACTCCACCTGCTTACCCACAAGGCTCTCTGTTTCCTCACCGGGCTTCCTGTCTGCAGGCAGCAGGTGTTTGTTCTCTGCGGAAACAAAGCGGTGGAATGACTTTACTTCACAATAAAGTGACTGATTTAAAACAACTTATTCTATAAATTGAAAATAATAAATGTAATATTAAACATTATAATATTTTAAATCAAAATAAACATGCATTTTATTCATTCAAATTAAAGGGAAAGTTCACCCAAAAATTAAAATTACCCCATGATTTACTCACCCTCCCGCCATCCTAGGTGTATATGACTTTCTTCTTTCAGTTTACGCTATGCCTGCGTCCTACGTTGGAACACCACTCTCTGGAGTGGAGTACTTTTATGATGGATGGATGCAGTTTTTGGGGCATTAAAATCTCAACACCCATTCAATGCTATTATAAAGCTTGGAAGAGCCAGGACACCTAGGATGGCTTGAGGGTGAGTAAATCATGGGGTAACTTTCATTTTTGGGTGAACTATCCCTTTAATACAACTAATATTATTAATTTATATAACTACAAACAAAACCAATAATTTAATACATAATCTAAAATTCAAAAGTTTGTGGTCGGTAAAAATTTAAGGTTTTTTTTTCTTCTGCTCACCAAGGCTGCATTTATTTCATTAAAAATTCAGTAAAAACAGCAATACTGTGAAATATTTTTACAATTTCAAATAACTGTTTTTTTTTTTCTTTGAATATATTTTAAAATGTAATTTATTCCTGTGATGCGCAGCTGAATTTTCAGCATAATTACTCAAGTCTTCAGTGTCACATGATCCTTCAGAAATCATTCTAATATGCTGATTTGCTGCTATTTTAGTATTATTGAGATACTATTATAGTTCTTAATTATTTTGAATCAGATTATTTTTATATTTTTTCCTTTTCATTTGAATTGTAAAGCTTTAGTAATTTTGTTGTGCTTTTGTCATGTTTAGTAGTTTAGTTTTTTTATATGGCTATACAGTTTTTATTCATTTTTCTTTTTCTTTCTTTCTTTTTTTCTAATTCCTTATCATTTTAAATCAAGATACAAGATCTCTGAGTCTCGAGTTACAGACAATCTACAGAATAACAATTTAAAAGCACCTGATAAAAGCAGCAATTTAAATGTTATTAATAAATAATATTAATTTCAAAATTCATCATTTAAATTTATAATTTTACATTCGAATTGTATAATTTATTTAAACTTGTGAGAGATGTGAAAGACGACAGAAACCTTCCAGTGCGGTTTTATTAAAAACGTCATCTTATTTACCCGCTTCAGGTAAAATCCGGAGGTCTCCGTCTTTGTAGTCGTCCCAGAGCTGGTACATGTAGAGCACGGGGTCCTTCTCATATGTGATGTAGTACCAGTTGGTCATGATGGGCGCTCGGGACAGGACCATTCCCCTCCACTCGTTCTTCTCTCCGTCCTCCTTCTCAAACAGATGCTCCACGGCTTTTCCCACCAGCTCCTCTGCGTCATGAGGAACCTTGATCTTGTTGTTCACTTCGAAGGGTTTGGAAACACAGCAAAATGACTAAGTGCATATTCAAGGGTGAGAGGCTGAGTTTTACAGTGATTTTAACCTGGTAAAAAGCTCTGGTTGGAATGTATATTATACATGTATGTACAGCCAAAATAGCAAAACGATATAAGTCACCTACACTGCCGTTCCTACACTTCTGTGTGGGTGTGTTTTACATAGTATTAAAATAATATATCAAAATAATAATAGCAAGTAAACAATAGTTTACAGATTCATAGACACTGATTATTGATTATATTACACAAGTTTTTTTTATTTTTTTGAAACAAGTTTCTTCTGCTCACCAAGGCTGCATTCATTTGATCAAAAATACTTAGCAAAAAAGCAGTAATATTGTGAAATATTATTACAATTTAAAATACCTGTTTTCTACTTTAATAAATTGTCAAATGTAATTTATTCCTGTGATCAAATCTGAATTTTCAGCATCATTACTCCAGTCTTCAGTGTCCTTCAGAAATCATTCTAATATGCTGATTTGCTGCTCAAGAAACACATTTTTATTATTATCAATGTTGAAAACAGTTGTGCTGCTTCATATTTTTGTGGAAAGCATGATGTGTTTTATTTTTCAGGATTATTTAATGAATAGAAAGTTAAACAGAATAACATGTATTTGAAACTAATCTTTTATAATATTATAAATATTGTTTCTGTCCCTTTGTTGAATAAAAGTCAAATCATTTCAAAAATAGTGTACGTTCATTAAATAATTACATTTATTCTAACTAACTACTAACTAGCAACTATTCTTTCACCATGCAAAATACTTTATTAGGCTTACAAGATAAGACATTTTAAATGAAGTAAAGCTGTGCCAAACAAACAGGCACTAGAATTCTGGTAACAATATTTCATATTCATAGCTTTCTTGATGAAACCCATATTTACTTAGTGTAACATTTTCATATCTACTCCACTGTGACAGTGTAAATCTATGCATGTGATAATCTGACTCCATTTCAACTGCAAAGATCATCAAAAACAAATGTCTTCTCTTCCAAGTCAGTCTCTTTTATTTTCCTTTCTGGCTATTCTAACTGTATTATGATCACTAGGGAACAGATGTGCACATCACTGCATACAAGTAAAAAAAACACTGCAGTATGAGCAAAATTCACAGATATGCAAAAAAAAAAAAAAATCATCCACTTTAAGGTAGCAGAGTTGGGCGGCACGATGGTGCATAAAGTATGATAGAAGAAATGTGTCAAGCATCAAAAAATAACTACACTACAGTTTTTTCATGTGTTTGAAAGACGTCTCTTCTGTTCACCAAGGCTGCATTTATTTGACCAAAAATACAGTAAAAACAGTAATATTGTAAAATATTATTACAATTTAAAATAACTGTTTAATAATGTAATATATAGTCAAATGTAATTTATTCCTGTGATGCGCAGCTGAATTTTCAGCATCATTACTCCAGTCTTCAGTGTCACATGATCCTTCAGAAATCATTCTAATATACTGATATGCTGCTCAGGAAACATTTCTAATTATTATCAGTGTTAAAAACAGCTGTTTGCATTTATTTGAAAAAGAAATATTTTATAACATTATAAAAGTCTATACTGTCACTTCTGAACAATTTAATGCAACCTTGCTGAATAAAAGTATTAAAAACTGACTTCTAGTAGTGCTCCGATTGATCGGCTACCGATCACTATCGGCCGATAATCGCTTTGGGATGATTGACTCACCTTCATATTTCTTAATGAAATAACTTATAAAGTAATTTGAAAACCTTGTGTGAGACGTAATTTCACAAACAGCGTGAGTTAGTGAATTAGCGTGCGCTCTTCTCAAAATACGCGAATGTCTTCAAATCACCACATCGTGTCTGCACTAGGGATGTGCATCTCATGACTCAGGCCGATACGATACGCATCTCGATGCATAGCCAACGATACGATACATTAAAGATACATATGAAGTAGCTACCGATGCGATGCGATACGATTCACCCTTGTTACGATGCAGTGCAATCCGATTAAAAATGAAAATAAATAATAAAGAAAATGACTATATTTTAACTGTTATAAGAAACACGTATTAACTCATCTGAGCTTAGTAATTAGTACTGAACTAGCTTACATTTGATTTACCCGTTACAATAGTCCCTGTACAGTTACTGCTATCATAAAAATACACTTGTATGTATGTTTAAAATTCTTCAAAATACACATTTAATGTCCAACAACAAATATTTTAGCAAAATGTATATTTTACTCAGAATTATTGCGCTCCTATTCGATTGCGCGCCGTCTGTTTAGCACGCATGCGCGCAGCTGCGCTCGTTCACTCGTGTAAGCCTCGTTCACCCCTGACAGCAAAATGGATATATTTGCATGACTTTCTAACATTTACGCGCAGCAGCGCTCGTTCACTCGCGTCAGCCTCCACTCCTGACAGCAAAATGAATATGTTTGCATGACTTTCTGACATTTACAGATGAAAAAATATACCTGTGACATGTGAGTTATGCACTGAGGAAAACACAACGTCTCAAATGCATTAAACAGCACAGATATATTCGCTGTTTGCGATGGTAGATCGATTTTATCCCTGATCGACATTAAGGGCTGCTTAAGAATAAGCGTGCGCAAATTAGTGAGATTGTGTGAATTTAATTTGTCATTAATGGAACCGCTTTAGCCCCGATTGAATTGTTAGGTTATTTCAAGTCAGGTTTTGGACTTTAATCCCAGTTTTTCCTCGGGTCTCCGTGGTGTTGTGATGCGTCACAATCACGCAGCAGCAGTGATGAGAGAACGCGCTTGAGAAACAGTTTAGAGAGGAGAAATCAATCTACTATAGATTAATAAATCGTTTTTTACCGATGCAAATATGTTAGAAACGATGCATCGCGATATAAATGGCAACTTGTAGCCGATGCACACTTTTTAAACCGATGCATCGCATCGTTAACTTTTTATGCCGATGCACCAAGCTAATCGGGGAATCTTCCCACCCCTATTCTGCACTATAAGCGAGCTGCAAGCTGGACACAGGAATTGTCACTTGCACAGTCGAGGCAGTGTCACATCGTCATTAAAGTTTATAAATTGCATTACTTTTTAATTGATCCGTGATCCATTGTAACCCAAAAACCCAAAATACAATGCGTAATTTAAAATGTTGGTAAAAAAATGTGTGAATAATAATTACGGAAAATTCCTTCATATTAATAGATTTTGCCTTA